ATACGCCTTCCGTCCACACGTATCGACGAAAACGCAGCACACTGTAATAACCGCCAACTTTTGAAAACGCTCTCCGGAGTGGAAACTTTTGAACACGCAACAAATCCTGACACGTGTAACCGGAACGTTTTGAAAACAATGACCTCAAACATTGGAATTTGATATCCACCCACTCTAAAGTATATAAAGTATTTCTGTGGAAACTCTTTGCCGAGCTGTGTAGAATTTTCTGTGGAAGGATACTGACACAGTGCTGTGAACAGATCCAAAATGTCAGAATACTTTGACTGGCAGGATTCCCAATCGACATTTTCTGTCGTCCTTTCGTCGTCTGTTCACACAAATAGCTCGCTCTCACTTTTTCCCTGTGATGACTTTGATTTGCTAACTTTTTTCTCCAGAATTATAACACCTACAACTAAATCACAGGCTCGTCGCACGGGAAAGCACATGCTCTGTAAGCGATTCTAGCGTATTCGTATCGTTCTTGCGGATGTACATGTGTGGACGTACATCTTGCGGATGTACATGTTTTGAATCCGCAACAAAATGTTTGTAGATATAAACGAAACCGGAGATGGGACCTAAGGAAAGGGGGCTGTCTCCTCGGCCAAGACGCCACTGTCTGAAAACGGTGACCCAGAGTCAATCTCTGTTAGTTTATGTGGTATAATAGTGCTTTATGTTTTTCAATAATATGTCAATAATTTACAGTCTAATTTGCCAGTTAAGTATATGAATATAATTGATATTTATTTGTGATGCTTTGTTGTCAGATGTAACAAAATCCAATACAATTCACAAGACAAAACTTGTGGCTTAATTCCGCACTAATCACACTGTATGTATTTGGATCATGTTAGAGGTCGTACTTTCCTATCTGAGATTTTTTAAGAACATCAATGCATACAAAAATTGAAAATCGCTGCACAGGAAACAACTACTCAGAAACATGGGAAGAAACGAAAACAGACTTTTACTTCAGCAGACTTCAGCCCGCTGGTTGATTTAGTTGGAAACAATAGACAACTTGCATGTTAGACTAATTTTTGATTTAGGAAAAAAAGTAAATTCCCGTAAAGAACTTATTAAAATCAGTAAAATTGCAAAATTTGGTTACGAAATGTTGTAAAATACAGAATACAGCGATAGCCTTGCGAAGTTTGCATATTTTCAGTATATGTTTGTATTACGTGCGGAAATTATTACCATTTTTGAGCCGAAAATAGTAACAATTTCCGCACGTAATACAAACATACTGAAAATATGCAAACTTCGCAAGGCTATATTTCCTGTATTTTACAACATTTCGCAACCAAATTTTGCAACTTTACTGATTTCATTATTTTGTTTTTAACTGCTGTGTTTTATTCCCTTCTCTTTACTTAGATTAAAATTTAGTCTAACGTGCAAGTTGTCCATTTGCGAGCACAATTGCAAAGGCTAAAAAGCAAAAGTTGGATGGGGGGACTAATACTTCCCAGATTCCAAGAGAAAATCGGAAAATATGGCGAAACATGGCCCAAATTAGGAAAAAAACAATTCTTGGAGAATGCAGTTCCAACAAAAAACGGGTGGAGGTAATGCAGCAAAACCAACAACCACTTCCACAGCTAGCAAGAATGATAAGTTTTGAGTGATGAGCCTATTAATGCTTTTTTCCGGTTTTGAATCTGGTATGTCTTCTGATTCAGCATCATTTATTGTAATTCATTTCATCTGTGTACTTTCCAATTCAATTAAATAATTTAGCTTGTCAAACATTGATATAAATTGAAATATACGGATATTATGAAATATGCGGATATTACTCCAATTCCGAAAGAAAAACCCGTTCGAGAGCTAAATAAACATTTACGACCAATATACCTAACACCCATTATATCCAAAATAGCAGAGGATTTTATTGTGGAAGATTTCATTTAACCTGCTGTACTCCAAAGAATCGACCCTAATCAATTTGGCACTATCCCAAAATCAAGCCCGACTTACGCTCTCTTAAGCATGTTACACTCAACTTAAGCATGTTACACTCCATTATTCAACTGATGGAAACGGTGCAACGGTTAGAGTCATCCTATTTGACTTTAAAAAGGCTTTTGACTTGATAGATCATGGTTTATTGGTTGCTAATTTCCAAACATATAACTTACCGCAACACTGGGTATTAACTGGATTATAGATTTTCTCACATGTAGAAAACAAAGAGTAAAGCTAAATCAAGAAGATTATTCGGACTGGGCTGAAATCACTGCCGGAGTTCCACAGGGTACGAAATTGGGCCCATGGTTATATTTAATAATGATCAATGAATTAACAACCTCTAGTGGTAGACGTTCGTAGACGAGACGACACGACCGTAGACGAATTAGTCAGCAAAAACAGCGAAAGTAGAATCCAGATCACAGTTAACGACCTATCAACTCAAATTTCTGAACTAAAATTTAACTGAACGAAAAGAAATGCAAAGAATTACGCATTGGTTTTGGCAAACCATGCAAGTGCCGAGTTTGATCCAGTTATTGCGAGGGATATTCCTTATGGAGGTAGTTCCTTCTGAATAAATTATTGGTCTAACCGTTTCCAGAATTTAAAATGGATGATCACATTTATCAAAAAACCATCGTGAAAGCAAGAAAGCGATTGTATTTTTTGACACAACTTAAACGTGCCAAAGTTGGGATTGATGAATTGGTTCTATTTTACAGCACATGCATCAGACCAATTTTGGAATATGCGTGTCCTGTTCATACAGTGTGTCTAATTACTTTTCTAGTGATCTAAAAATTATTCAGAAGAGAGCTTTGCGATGGATCCCTTATACTGACGCGCTGTCACCCACCGGTCTTCAACATCTTAGCACCAGAAGAGCGAAGATAACCAACAAACTCTTGCAGGACATTGTTATGGCCGAAAATCATAAACTTCACGGGATTTCTTCCACCCCGAAACACGTGCGTCACCGATCTTAGTGCCAAATATTCAGACCTTTTTAAAAACAGTTTTTTTGGTAGAACTGACCATTTTAATCATTGTCCTTTAGAGTAGCCTTTTAGCTCTTGTTCACCCCTTTAGTTGATTTTATGTGTAATTTAGCTACAGTACTTGGACCTTGTGTAATGTAAACATAATTCAGTCTATGGCTGTTTTATATTTAGATCTAATTAAATGACGTCACAACCAGTCTAGACGTTTTAAATATAATGTCAGTCGAAAGCTTATACATTGCTTGTGCTATAGTTTAAAATAAACATGAGTAAAATAGTAGGATTTAGCATTAAAAGGATCTCAGGAAAATATACAGCCTCATACTCAGGGCCTGCCCGGCCGACTTTCTAATATGGCCGCCAAATCGGGCGAGGCCCTGGCAAACGCTGGTCATGTGACTCCAAGAATTTTAAACATTACGTAATTGTTACTTTCCTAATCCGGGGGGTGAATTGTAGAGGTAAAACTCGAAGATCAACCGTTTTTATCTCCAAAATTCTTCAATCTTCCCTGTGAATTTTGCATTTTAAGCTTTTTTAAAAATACGGCGATCGAATTAACAAACGGATCAATACTTTCTGTCGAAAAAACTGAGTGAGATTTTTCGTATATATGCGATGTTCAGAACACTTAGATATATCGCTAGTTGTACTGTCACTTGTACAGGTTTATCGTTTATGGTTTAGTACTTTACTGTAAGTAAATGAATGGAATGAAATTCAACTCTTTTATAGTCTTGTTTAATGACTAAATGGGTTAGTAGAGGACAACTGATGCAAAGATATGAATACTTCAAGTTCATGCACATTCATAATACATGAATATTTCAACAATATGTCAATATGATATAAAAGGATGGTCGTTGTATATGTGCTATTTACGTTTCTAACAGAGTCGACGACCATGCCAAATGATCCTTGACAAAGGTAGTGCATTTTTGCACTTGCTAGATGATGTCGTAACCAAGGATTGTTTAAGAGGAAGAGATATTGCTGTGTAGCTTGCATTACACCCCAATTTTTGACCATATGGGTCAAAATTGAAAATTGCATTTATATTGTAGAGAAAATATTCCTTGTTAATAAACTTTTTACAGAACACTAAAATTCCGCTTAGTTTCCGAGATATTTGAATAACACTGTGTAAAATGATATTTTCCTAATCTGTTTCCATGGTAACGGGTAACATTGTGCTTAAACATCGGCCCTTAAAACTGGTGAACACCATACGTTTTAACTTGATCGTGTTCAAAATATATTTCTAAATGTCCTGGGAACAAGTGCTTTTCAGAGAGATTAGGAAATTGTATAAAATTCGTCAAACGTCGCCATGTTTTTCTCATGCAGTATTGTTGACTTTTTGAAAGTATTTCACCCGAATTTGCGTTAACAACACTGCCTATTTTGTCAAGTTTAGATAAATAATGCCTAGACGAATATCTATAGACAAATATCGTCGCATTCCTTCATGGTAGTAGGCAAAATTAGCGGATGAATATCCCGTTGAGCTGTTAACCAGGCGGCCATTTCTGGACATGAAGTTTCAAAACCACATGTTACTATCACCTGCGAGACAGAAGAAAATCGGCCACCTTCAGCAAGCGAGAAGAAAATTATATCATCTGTAGACGTATGCGAGGGTTACATAGAGGGAATGCCACTATGGACGGTAACGAAGAAATTGATACACTGGGGGGCCCATCAAAGCCATATTTTAGTGAAATGTTCACCAAGTATTTCAAAAAGGACATAAATGTATGATGGTACTTGGTCAAAGAGGGGACATACAGCTTCCTATGGATTTAGAGACAGGCCAAGCTTTTGCATTGATTATGGTTTTCGCTCAAAGATTTGTACTTCGTGTAACAAACAGAAGGCAGATGAGGATTCTGATGAATACAAGGTTTGGTATGATAAGCTATCCGCAAACCAGAATGAAAGCCTGAATGGAATAGTCTGGTCCAAAGCACCAAAGCACCAAAGCACAAGTATAATGGCCCAAAGGCAATCAAAATGGCTGACATGTCTGCTGTACTCAAATTTTACAGCGGTTCGAAGGCGCGGCACGAAGTGATGAAGGTGGCAAATATCCCTTCTGGCAGATTTACTGAAGAAGCAGGAGCCTGTATGGACAAGAAGAGAATAGCCTCTTCAAAAAGGAAAGCAAGCTTGGTAGAAAAAAAAGAAAAGAATTGCACAAAGACAAGCAAAGCTTGTTAGAGAACTGGGAACACGTAAAGTAGGAGGTGTTCCATCCTATAGCAGCGGTGTGTTTAATGAAGAGGCTTTGCCGGGGAGCAAAACTAGCTAAAAGACCAAAATGACAAAAACAATGAGTAGGTGGAACATTATGAGGAGTAAGAATGGATTATTATATTGTTTTAATTTCTGTTAACATTTGTCTGCTAGGATGTTAGTAAAGCTGAGAACAATGCGAAGATATGTTGGTCCAACTTTACCTTGGATTTGCCGCAAAACCAAACTTCCGCATATTTTTACCTTTAAAATGCTAAAACTCAAAGCGTTTTTAACAGATTTGGCTGACATTTTCACAGTTCACTCTCATCTATGTACTTACAAAACTAGTGAGAGATTTTTTTGATATACCCAATTCTGACCGAAATAATTGAAAAAGAGATTTAAGGATGCCTTAACTGTTACCATAGCAACACCAATTGTCCAATCAAAAAAATGAATCTTTAATTTGTTCATACCTGAGTGTTGCACAAGTGTGCAAAGTTTCGGGACTGTACCTTGAATTGCCTCAAAGTTTTAGCATTTTAAAGATTTACTGTAATATTCCAATTACTTACCTTTCTGGAAGGATAGACCCCCCATGATGCTATCTGAAGTTAATTAAATACTATTGTTGTGATGTCTAAGTACCAATATTCAAGAAACATTCTCATTTGGATGTATAATTAGATATTTTTCCTCCTGTTTCACAGTCGTCCATTTTTACCAAAATGAGGGTAGACAGTCCCCTTATTAATCAACTAAACTGGCCCGGTTATTGGAATCTCACATAAAGCAGGCAAGACTTTCGCTCAGAAGCCAGGATTAATATTAATTCCCCACGTAAACACTTGAAAACCGGACTGTCCCAGGTGCCATGCGGGACAAAAGACATGCAACCTGGACTTTAACTTTTATTTATCGTCATGATAATCAGTGATGATTTTTGCCTAAACCAAAGCCAGTTTTATATAATTAATTCACAGAATCCTAATAAGTGGCATTATTTGTCCTGTACAGTGTAAAACTATACAAATGTGACACAGGTTGCAGGTATTAGATTGCATGTCCACCAGTGTGCTGAAATACCATCCAGTGATCTGCTCTTGCATCTTGCTCAATTCAACTTATTATGCCCTATTTCTGTACCCACACATTTCTTTTTAATAATCTAGAAAACTGTCAAATAAATTTAATAAGAAATTTGGTTCAATATATAAATTGAATAAAAAAAATTGGAAAAATTATTGTACATGCATATGACCCCCGTCCCTGTCGGGTGTTAAATTAGAAATTCCATTGAAATCTTCAGAAAATAATTATGGCAATATTAAGGTTACAAGCCACACTGCAGAGTTGGGCAATTTTTGAAAAGATCTCGAAGGCACAAAAGGATAAATGTAGGGGCAAGGGAACAAAATAATGACATTTTGATATTTGGGGGCAGGTTTTTACGAATGGGCGCTAAACCTTTTCTCTAAAAAATCTCTGAGCCGTCTCTGACAAAATGCAGTTGTCATGGATATTAAAAATGCTCAATAACTCATTGACATTAAATAATGCTGAATAAATTCTGAAACTGATGTTTGGCTAAATACCCTTGCAGATTTTAGCTTTGTCAGCTTAATAACGTGGCCACTCTTTGTTATTCAGTAATGGGCTCATTTACATAATTCAGGTCATCAAATATAAGTATATAGATTTTTTGTTTGACTGCTTAAGGGGACAGTGCCCTTAATAGCATTAAAAACAAAGTACTTGAAGTTACTGCTGTAGTCTACAGTGTAGACTGTAGTTTAATACTGTAAACATTTTTCGTAGTGTAAACTAATAGCAATTGTATTGTAAATAATAATCATGTGAGAGCAGAACTTTACTAAGAGTCTGAGAATTATAGGCCATGGCCCATAGTCTGACCATGTGTTTCTCAATACTTAAACTAGAAATTCAGAAAACTATAATAATTATACTTAAAAAACTCATTAATAATTCATGAAGAAAACACAAAGAAAAATCATAAGCGTGTCGTATCTGTATATGTGATACAGATTCATGTTGATTTACATAAACTTTAACATTGATTTTCTCGGCTTAGACAAAATTTATTTTTAAAATTACTTCGCCAATGAACTCATAAGATGAGTCGTTTTTTAAGTTGTTTACAACATTCGCGTCCGTGTTGTATCGGATATACAAACTCTCGCCTTCGGCTCGAGTTTGTATATCCGATACAACACGGCCGCTCATGTTGTAAACATTACAAATAGCCTTCGAATATATATCTTACAGCTATTATTGTAACAAATTATTAAATAAGGCAACCACATTGCAAAATTCGCAAGAGTGTTAGATCAAAAACTCATGAGATTCTATAATAAATGAATAATGTCAGTCGAAAGCTTATACATAGCTTGTGCTATAATTAAAAATTTTCTTTCCAGTGAAAGGTATAGTACATATTTCATAACCAGAACGATAAAGAAAGTCAAGAAAGTTTTCTTTCCAGTGAAAGTTAATAAAGCTAGTCAAAAGTACAAAATTCAAGCATGCTGCTTCGTCACGTGACAGGGTACCCACGTCTTTCTACAGGGTACCCAAGACAGAGTGATCTAAATTGGCACGTCACACATTCAGCTGGCATACTTCGAAACCCGGTACCATCGTAAATCCAGTACGCTGACATGACAATTTCTTCTTGAAATATACACGGGAAAACAATTAAAACTGGCAGCAAATTAAAAACTACAAAACGTAGTATATTAATTGTTTCTCGCCACGTCCGCGTACTAGATTAAGCACATCTTAAGCTCCCTAATATAACTAGCGTTGCCTATAATTGCGCTTATCTTGAGTTATAGTAAGAACACATTGAGAACAGAGTAAAGAAAAAACATCAAAGCGTTCATGCAGCTTGCATATGTTATCCTTACGTATATAGTAAGAACACATTGAGAACAGAGTAAAGAAAAAACATCAAAGCGTTCATGCAGCTTGCATATGTTATCCTTACACTTGGTCATATGCTTGTGTTGTCGTGCAACTGTTCACAATTATTTCATTACTGGCAGACATTTTTTGGATATCGCGTTACCTATAATTAAAAAAATGGCTGTCTTCGTTATAGCTGCCAGCAAATTTCTGCTCTCTTTTTATTACGAAAAAAGCATCGTATCTATTTGAGATATTCTCTTCGAATTGAAAGAAGATCCGCGCATGGCAAGGATATTACTTGTCAGCTCAAATCATATATCTATTCGTTCCCAAGATATACGATACAAGACATTTAAGCGCGGGACCAGTTGATTTTTCAAGTTCCTCTTGAGTTATAAGCTTTTGAAAACGTGTTTTCAGACTAGTGCCCAGGATTTGTGCCAGTTTTTGACCTCATTTTCACATTTGGAACAGCAATAACTCAAACACTGCTTGAAATTTAAGGTAACTGTTTAAATGTCTTGTATGTAGTTTTTTTGTAAGCTTTCTTATATGCAAGTTAGTTTTTCTATAGTGAACTTGAAATTTCACATTTGTAACAATATAGGAGTTTAGGGACCGGTCATTATTTATGGAATGGGGGAGGGGGGAATAAGGGGGGGCATATGTAGAAATAAATGACTAGAAGGGGGGGGCTATTAAATTTTTTCAAGAAAATGATGGGAGGGTTGCAATTAAATTTGAAGGAATTTGCTTAAATTAATAACCTGGTATCCACTGCCTCGTCCCCAGTCGCTTGCTATCAAACAATTAATTAGGAAAAGACGAAAGTTAATGGGGGCGCGCGGAATGATGGGAAGGGGAGGAGTTGCGGAGCGACTGGCAAATCCTGCATTCAAGATGGCGTCCGCTGCAATGGCGGACGAAGGATTGTCCGGTTCATATTTGCATTTCCGACTTTGGAGTGGGGAAGATTAAAATATCTCGACAAGTATTTACCCCTTTAAAACGAAAACCATCATTGAAATCCTCATAAAATAACCTTTCGAACGGGGGGTCAAATGCCGTCATAAAATGACACAGACCAAAACAATCGTATATTTACTTGCCGCTTGGCCAAACATTCTTATTTCATATCGAGAAAAACTTGAATATCTTCTAAACTCTTCAGAATTCGCCCAAGTCAATAGCAGTAAAATACTCCTTGTATTCAAGCGATTTTATGTAGAAAGTTTCGTTTGGCGACAAGCAGAAATATTTATTTTGAATTTTTCAAAATATCAGGTTTCTACACGCACGCGCGGCTGAAATTTAGATATTTTTAAATACCGAAATAAAAGATACAAATCTGCAGATACAAGCTTGAAAATAACACTCTAAATAGTGTGTTGGATTGTGATTCGAACAAGACTAATACGAAAAAGATACGTTGAAAGGAGCCGAAGTTATATTCGGCGAAAGGTTTGGCTTAGTGATACATTGTTTACATTGTTCGAGTATATTGTATATTATAGGTATGGTATGGCTAGTTTACATTGTTCGAGTATCGCTAGTTTATATTTTATGGCCATTTACATTGTTCGAGTATATAGTTTCTTTCAAGCGGAATTTTTTGGTGGTACTTTCGTATTTCTACTGCAAATATTCGCGGAGTTCTTTAATATTTAATCTTCCCGTCATATGTTTATACGGAAATCAAATAATACGGACGGCATTGAGAAGCTTCTAAAAGAAGCTGAAAGAAGCTACTAAATCATCACTATCATCAAGCTGGAAGTCTTCTAAACTCATTAACGGCCCACTGTCGTCAAAAACCCCCCTATTTTCGTAGTTTCGATCACATTTGCACAGTTTCGATCACATTTGCACAGTTTCGACACAGGATTTGGCAGGCTCCTCCCTCGTAATTTTTCGTCTTCCCATTTTCCTTTGCGCGCTCGTCCTTAGTTGCGGGCGTGCGCCTAAAGGCGTGCGTCTTTATCGGGCTTGCAGTGCACGCGCTGATCTATATATTACCGATATTTAAATTTGATCTATACAGAGGAGCCT